CAAACTTTTTTAGCATTGATAGTGTTGTCAGTTTCTGTGCCAAAAAATAAGCCAACAATTGTCAATTTGATAAAAAAGAATTGTTGATTGATTTTATTTTGTTTTGTTGTTTCATTGACCTTTTGCGTTACGCTCACGTTTGGTCAAGCGGAAGTTACGAATTTTCCGGTTTCTCTGTCTTATTTCTTGGCATGAGTATTTATGTATGGTCAATGGAATATTAATGGATATGTATGTATGTAGATATTACTAATTTTATGTTATATATATATATAGTATAAATGTTAAAAAGTAAGAATATTTTGAAATGATCATTTATCTGCAAAGCCGGACTTTGCTTAACTTTTCATTTCGACATCAAATCCATGACATGAAACAAACCTATGCAACAGAATTCGTCAGTTTACTAAGTTTATTGCAAGTTCCCTAATTTAGGCTAGGATCTCTACTTTGTGGCAGGTAGGTACCGCAAGCGCCTCTGTGTAGTGAATAAAGTGCGCCAGACTGCGTGATTAACTACGGTCACAACTGATAATCAATCCACGACAGTCGGGCCTACGTAACTGGAACGACCCAGATTTATGTCTGGCGAAGGACCATCATCACTCTCAAAAACCTCTTTGGGGAGTTTGTATACTGTTACAACAACATCAATACAGCTAAAACTAGAAACTCTCCGTCGACTAGATACAAATGGGCACTGGTAATCCATCTTCCAATCTCTTCGTATCACGCGGAGGCAACTGGTCTGATGAAGAGTATCATGTCTCTGCTGAGTAGGAAAATGAGAGGCGAAAATTTAGATATGAAGGGGACAATTCCTCAACCTCATTCTTCAAGCTCATTGAATACATAAGGATGAAGCTTTCGACCAAGAGGAGGTGAGAAAATCAGCTGAGAAGTTCACAGTTTGCGGCTAAGAGTACATCGGCAACAGAATTTGTCTGATGAATAATAATAATAGCTCTGATCCAACACTTTTCGTGTGAAATCCTGTAAAAATGTCAAATAGCAAAATTACTCTCTGAAGTGAGAGTAAAAGGTGAGTAACAACAAAAAGTACGGGAACAAAAAAAAACATGTTTCTTGTAAAAACGACAACCAGCGATCGTTTGACACTTTTCTTGATTGTACTAGAAGAAAAAGTGCGGGTAAAATCTTGCAACTTTATTCTCTACACAGCTTTCCAAAAGCCGCTCTAATTCTGTAACTTCCTGCAAGTGCGTGTAGAAACCTGTAAGTTCATGCAGTACTGGATCAGAGCTAACAATTCTTTTTAATTGTGGTGCACGTCTTGATGTTGTTACACAAATAGGTGGATATACAGTTTCACGCCGCCTCTTAACGGCAAATGAATTTGATGTGAAGCTTTTTTAAGGCAGAAATACCCTCGGCAGTTTGCAATGTCTGCCGAGAGGAAATTGCTATTCAGAAAAAAACCCTTTGGAAAGTTGTTTTAAGCAGGGATCGAACCTTGGTCATACGGAGTGGTAGTACGCATGCACCTTTAAGCACTTTTCTACAGATAAATACATGCGAGAAATTAAAACCATTGTGTTATTTCACAAGATGTGAGATCGTTCTGTTTGCGGAAATTATAAAGTCCTATCTTGAAGAAACTAGTTCGGGCCGACAATGTGGCTACAGACCTGGTAAGTGCATCAGTGATCAGATTTTCACAGTGCGTCAAATTTAATGCCGCTAAAAGAGAGCTTTGATTGCGTGTATATTTATATGTGAACAAACTTTTGCGTATTTCTATTCTTATTAGCGCGGATATAGGAAGGGTAATTAAGTACAGGGAAATCCATAGGTATTATTCCAACTGCATTTCAAAACAATGCTTTAGATGGGATTGAAAATGATTCCTTAAAATTAACTAGGATTTAGCAAATTGCAAAATACCGGAAACAATCCATAATAGAGATGGGCACGGGACAAGAATTTCAAGCCCGATCCCGCCCTTTCCGAAATTCAATTTTTAAGTCCCGAACCTACCCATCCCGACGTTTTTCAGAATTGTACCGCGGATTCCGTGGGTCCCGAAATCCATCACTAAAAGTAATTCACATATCTTTCAAATACGTTTTAAATAATAAAAAATCTGGCATCTTCCGGTTGATGGTGTTAAAAATAGAAATAGCAGTAGTTGTGCTTTATGCTTTACTGCTATAGGGTATTGAATATTAGTCCCTGTTTGCTTTTCCCGTCGGCTTTTCTTAATCTCGAAATCACAATAAGCTTTTACTTAAGGAAACATAAAGATCGACTCACCGAATAGCCTCAATCTCTTCATCTTTCTCAGCTAGGCGGCGTTCGGTATCGTGGCGGTATTGGTTGAACTCAGATGACAAGCGTTGAGCGCGTTGCTCCTCAGCCTTGCGACCCTGCATAAGAAAAGTAAAAAAAAAACATATGATTCCTTTATAATTTTGCTTGAACGCAATTGCATTTGTTATACGTACAGCCTCAGCTTCCTTGTAAGCAGCAGTCAATTCATCGCGCTCGTTCTCCAAGCGGCGCAACTCCAATTCCAATTCATGCAAACGGCGGCTGTACTCATTGATTGTAGCCTTGGCTTCATGGAGATCATCTGCAATTAAGACATAGCCAGATTAAAACATCTCTCTCTCTCTTTCTCTCCAGTTCCATGTACTCACCTCCTAATTTCTTGTTCTCACGTGCCAATTGGTTGTTAGCATCCTTGACTTTGTCCAATTCATGAATGGTGCGCTGCAAATCGGCATGCTTGTTCTTCAGGTCACGTTGGCTGTTCTCGTACAAGACGATCGTTTCATCGAGACGGCTCTTCAGTTCGATGTTGTGCTTCTCCAGTGTGTTGACCGATTTGGTCAATTCGCGGCAAGTGTTGTTAGATTTCTCCAAGTCGATAATGAGCACTTCAACTTCACTGGCCAA